AAAAAAAAAAAAGCCACTTCGCTCCTCAAGCAATTTTACTTCCATCCGTTGGAAAAATCCTTCAAGTCTGAAGGACCCCAATATGAATACGGCATGGTAGAATTGTGTAGTGCACAATCTGCACAACTGTGTGTGGCATCCCTGCTTTGACAGTACCTTATGAAAACCTTTATTTCTGCCGAAAACATCACCACTAATCACGAAGATAAATTTCTTTCTCACAAAAAGCACATTTTTCGCTTGGTTTTCAATGTGAAATGCACAGTTAAACAGAATGAAGGCTGAACCCAAAGAGTTATAGTGTCTATTATGCAAACAGAAGAAGAAGCATGACAGAGCTCACTGCCCTGCAGGGTTCTCTGATCCTCTTTGCCTATCTCAGTGCCTGGTAACTAAGATAAGCGGCTGGGGGTGAGCTGGGAGGGTGTTGTGTAGTAGTTGCAGGGGCTGGGATTGAGGGAGGGTGACAGCACCTGTAACTATCTTTCATCAAGGAATTGAAATAAATGTCGTATTTTATTAGCCCTTGATAGCTGGTGGTAATCACCTAACTTAAACTGGCTCTAAAAGAGACAATATACAATCTTGACACCATAGGTCTGTTCTGTGACTGCTTCACCAGTTATTTCATCTTTTTTTTTTTTCTGAAAATTCAGTCCAAATGTATATTTATTATTTGTTTATTTTTGAGACCGAGTCTCACTCTATCGCCCAGGCTGGAGTGCAATGGCACGATCTCAGCTCACTGCAATCTCTGCCTCCCAGGTTCAAGCAGTTCTCCTGCCTCAGCCTCCCGAGTAGCTGGGACTACAGGTGTATGTCAAAACACCCAGCTAATTTTTGTATTTTTTGGTAGAGATGGGGGTAGATGGGGGTTTCACCATGTTGGCCAGGCTGCTCTCAAACTCCTGACCCCAGGTGATCTACCCTTCTTGGCCCCCCAAAATGCTGGGATTATGGGCATGAGTCACCATGCCCGATCCCAAGTCTATATTTATTTTAAAAACTATTAGAAAACTAATATATGAAAATACATGTTCAGAAAGAAAAGAAAGAGAAAGAAGGAAAGAAAGGAAGGAAGAAAGGAAAGAAATATAGATAAGCAAAAGGAAAAGAATAAAAATCACTTAATTACTTGTTTTGCCATTACCTAAGAATAACCACTTTTTAGGTGTGATTAAACAGTTTGTTATATATCCTTGCAAATGCAAGTTGAATAAAAACAAATTACCCACCTATGCCTGTGTCTACATATTTGTATACATATCTATAGCTACATATACAACTATATCCATGTTTTTAGAATTTAGATATTTAATTCCAAAGGAGAAAACAAATTTGAGCATTACATTATATATGCATATATATTTACACATTCAACATTTTAAAAGTTATTATTTGCTTAAACATACAATAAGTGTTCAATAAAACATAAAATACAGCCAAGAATTAGTAAGGTGTGTGTAATCAGTAGAATCATCCTAGATACAGTGGCCTCACTGATCTCCCCAGTGAAGTATAGGGTCACTGTGAACTGCCTATTTCAAGTTTTCAGTTATTACAAGAGCATGTTTTTTAAACGGATAATCATGAAAATTTTTTTAAAAACCAATTCCCTTGTTTGGATTCTTTCAGTGTTTAAAATCCCACTATTAGAAAACTAATATTTGAAAATATATGTTCAGAAAAAAAAAAGAAAGAGAAAGAAGGAAAGAAAGGAAGGAAGAAAGAAAATATAGATGAGCAAAAAGAACAAAATAAAGATCACTTAATTACTTGTCTTGTCATTACCTAAGAATAACCACTTTTCAGATGTGATTAGAGTAAAACAGTTTGTTATATATCCTTGCAAATGCAAGTTGTATAGAAACAAATCACTGGGCCAGGCGCGGTGGCTCACGCCTGTAATCCCAGCACTTTGGGAGGCCAAGGTGGGCGGATCACGAGGTCAGGAGATTCAGACCATCCTGGCTAACACGGTGAAACGCAGTCTCTATAAAAATACAAAAAAAGTAGCCGAGCATGTTGGCGGGCGTCTGTAGTCCCAGCTACTCGGGAGGCTGAGGCAGGAGAATGGCGTGAACC